ATAAACATTATGCAAATTTGGAGCAGGCAACCTGTGCTTTTTTTCCTTTGTTCCCTCATTTTTATGGTAGTTTTTAATTGTTTTGCATTTACCATATCATTACCTAGCATGACTTTTATGAACTTTTTATGTTCCTCTGTTGTCAGATTCTGAAACGGATAGGAGTTCAAATTTTAGGGAGCACAGACGAGCACATTATGATGAGTTCCGGAAAGTGAAGGAACTAAGGTGGAAGGGTTCTTTCTTGGAGGATGGAGAAGAAGAAAATGGTGATGAGAAGGAGGGCACTTCATCATTAACCACTGGTGTGAGGGATATAGAAATTGAAGGTGCCGCAACTTCGCATCAAAATTCTTCACCTCCAGCTAATGGGGTTTAGAGGCTGTTAAACCAAACCGACGCTTGAGAAACTGACTGTTTTGGTGCTTCTATGGTATTTTGTTCTAAAACAAGATGGATCGCACCTGCTTTGTGTGTTTTCATGCAACGCTGTTCAAATCACGAGTTGACTTGCGGTCAACTTATGTTTATGGTGTCGGTATAAAAATCAAAAAACCAGCAAAATCAATAGATTTCACAATGGTGGCTTATGACTTGATGTAAACTGTAATTGCAGCCCTGGTTCAATGTTTGATTGGAAGGTTAAGAGACAGGGAGCTGAGGCCAAGGTTAACATGGAAGCTGGATCAGGCATGTCCATGGACATGTCTCATCCACTTTTATGTTTTCTTGTAGTTTACTTCAACCCCCTTACTGTTAAAAGATAAAAGCATTCATCTATATCTATATCTATCTCTGTATCTGTTGTTCCAATTATATGGCTTTCTTTACTGTGGAACAATCTTCATGCTAAAAAGTTGAGACACTTTAACAATTATATATGATTTATATACGTATAGATTTTAAACCTAGAAAATTATGTCCTTTCTTCTTTTTTGGTTAAATCAAGAGGTAAACTGCTGTGATAATTTTTAGTTGTTGGTTAGTTCGATAAAATATATGTTTATTATAAAATAATTAAAAATAATATATATTAATGGTTTTTAATTAAAATATTATAAATTCAATCATTTATATTTTATAAAAAAATATTTTTTATTATTTCATATCTATATATATATATATATATATATATATATATATATACCCGACACGCTCCCGACACGTTCAATCAATCTGTAAAAGTTTTCATCTTTATTTCCAAACTTCACAGACACGTTAATCATTTTGTATAGTGATAAATGCACATGATTGACTTGTTCTTTCTAATTTATTGATCGTTATCGACACTAAAAATCTTGCAACTGATATTTCTCACTTTCATACAGAGAACTAAGGACTATGTTTAATTATTCCAGGCCTTTCAAACGTAGTTGATACACGAGGACCGCACAAGTACTCACAATACAACAAAAAATCCATTTTTTCTGCATAAACCATATGACCTTATTAACACAACTTCTACTCCTCACCTGCCTATTCATCTTGGTAGGAGCTGGAACTTACTGTCATATATTTAGTGGAAGCACAGCAAATGAATGGCATCAGCCACAACTTTTGACTAAAAGCATAAGAAATGAAAGACAAGTTGGCGTCTTCATTGATCAATAGTAATTCAAATCTGCAAGGAGAGTGGTGGCTTATACGAGATTAGGGAAGACGATGTAACCAAAAAATTCAGAGAAATGAGTTGTGGTGTTTCAATCTGCTTCGATGAGAAGGTCAGTTTTGTCCAATAATTTTTTACCAAACGTTGATAAGCAACTGAAAAGCATCTTCTCATTAACTGGGTCAGACCTCAGTTTTATTATGGGTCCACATGCAAAACTGCAGACTACAGTATAATTTTTTACCAAACGTTGATAAGAGGGGGTTTAAAAGAAGCCACATCATCCACCGCCCTCCGAGACACGTTTTAAATATGAACTGCTGCTGAGATAATGAAAAAAAAACACTGCAGAAAGAAAAAAAACCCTGCAAGTTACTTGAAACACTTAACTGCTATGATAATGAAAACACAATAACGTGGATCATTCTGCCTGGATTGTATCTTTGTGGAGGTGTGTTTGAGTTTTCCTTTTAAGAGAAAAAAGGACGACACTCTTCTAACCATTTTTGTTGGTTTTTTTTTGTATTTTTAAGTTATTTAAATTATATATAAATTTTTATTTGAATCATGTGTCATGTGTTTTAAAGTGATTGAACTTCTTTGCGATTGTCAATTAATTGTCACGAGACAAAGCTCCTTTGTTGCAACCATAAAGATGTTCTCCTCCAAAGGAAATAAAGATGTCATCTTTTATGAATAAATGAATCTCTCTTACTGCAGCTGGTGATGATTTTACTTGAGTAGGGAGGGGCTA